TGCAGGATAAAGACCTAGTGTGATCTGCTTCCATAAAGATTACAGCCAAGAAAAACCTACACTGCAGTTATACTCTGTCACATAAGGTTATTGTGAGTTGTGACTGATTCGACACCACCCAACAACAGTTTGTATCAGAAATTTTCCAGGAACCAGATATTTAAAGATAAATAAGAAACAATTTCTCTTGTGGAACCCCTATTCAGCTGTAGTAATAAACAAATATGATAAATATGGCAAATGTTAAAACTGAGTGGTAAAAGTACTGTCATACAACTCAACAGAATGAAGGGATCAGAACCGCAAAGGAAGATGGATTATCAAAGTTTCCTGAGAGAGATGACATTTATCTTAGTGAAACTTTGAAGGGTAATTAATTCAAAAGGAGGAGGGTACAGGCTGATTTAGATAAAATGCAAGCAATAAGCAATGGCATAGGTGTCTGAAAATAAATTGCAGGTGTAAGCAACATTTTTCTGTGGCTTAAGCTAGGTAGGTGGTAGCAGGCGAGTGGTACAGAATAAGGATAGAAAGGCAAGCAAGATGGTGAAAGTCCTTAAAAACTATGGAAGGAGTCCTTATCTTCCTCCATAGGCAATGGAGCATTATTAATCATGTTTAAGCAGGAGCATGTTCCTATCAAAATTTATACTAGTCATTGTTCTTCCAGTGATTTAAGCTCAAGATTTTAAGTTATCTATAGCTAGTAACCAAAACCTATATAGTTCCCTCAAAAGCCTCTTGCATTGATTACTTTATCTCTAATTATTACTATGAGAACAACAGCCCACATTTTCTTTACCACCTAAACAATCTTTGACATCCCTCTCTCTTTAATTTACCTACCAAAATAGCAGCAGTTACTTCCCTAAAACACTATTTTCATCATATTACTTCATTTCTCAAAAACTGTAATTCTAGCTATAGAAGAAACTGTGAACCAAACCATGGCATTTAAAGCCACCCATAGTGCCTGGACTCTATCTCCCTAATTCACTAATCTCCAACACAAACCCTTTTACTAGCCAAGCTGGCAGCAAAGTTCTAGCATATTTTAAATTTAAACACATGACGTTTCAAATCCTCTACTACAAACTTGCGATTTGTACTTGAGAACCATGAGATGGTTCTCTTTCCAAAAAAATTACAAGTTCTTGTTTACCTTAAATTTCTTTGCATCCTCCAAGAATAAGCCACCAGGATTATTTGAGGTATTCAATAAAAACCATTGACCTAAAACATTTAAAATAACAAACTAATACCTTACACCTTTGTTAACTGATATATTTCTGCTTTTATAGTCATAAATGAAATTTATATAAGCAAACTAACTTTCAATTTAATCAGTTTAATGTTTTCAAGAACAGATAATCTTGAAATTACAAAGTCTTCATTATTCTCTTTATTACTAGTATATTACAACTTTGGCAAATAAGTACTACTCTCTGTGCATACCTTTCCTTGTTCTGCATGTCTTTCAGTAAATGAATTTATCTCAGAACACCACTGAGATATAATATCAAATGCTGGAACTGGCCAATTCAGACAGGAGGCACTGATGAATGGATGTTCCGTTTGGTAAAATGCTGGCAGAAGTCCCAGGCAGCTGGCAAGAACTGAAAATTCTTCTTCTTCCTTTTAGACATGAAGTAGAAAATTCTAAAGACATTTCATCAAGAGCATTTTCCATTACAGATATTTTAAGTGTCATCCTCATCAGTTACTTTAGGACAATAAGAAAACTTTTTAAGTAACTGAAGAAAAGAGAGTAGGAAGAAGAGAGGAGAAATTTCCTAGCTGTTATATCCAAATAGCCCCACAATATGTCTCTTTGAAATTTAACTTCTGAGTGTTATAGCATCTGTTCCTTTTATAAATTTAGTTTTTATATACTGTTGTCATGTATCTGATAAATAATACAGATAATCTCCAGAACCTGTTTAAATATTATCACTGTCCAAATAGGCAGTAGTAGTAATATTAGTAATATCACTGAAATGGGCACATGCTAACAAACACAAAAATAATGATACTAAAGGTATTCTAAATATTTATCCCTTTCAGCTAGTCTAACATATGCTTGTATGACACTTCAATACAGATGTAAGAATTATACTATACATTCATATACTTTAAAAAATTAGCTGATTATAAAAACAAGGCTCCCTACTCTACCCTAAATCATACCTGGCAGCTAGGTAAATCCTCTCCAAAAAGGTGGTGCTGAAGAAGACCGGTGACTCTGAGGAAAGGTAAGCAGAAGTCTTGCAAGTACTTTTCCATGGATTCAGGAGACCAAGCAACAGAACTAACCTAAAGTTAAAAAAAGAAAGAAATCGGAACAATTCATTATGTAATAGATGTAGCTTAAAAAATTATATTCATAATGGCAACAAAATATCTTTTTTTTTAAACTAAATAGATACTATATCTGATTATAGACAGAACATACCATTGCACACTCCTGAGTCCCTTCTCCATGGTAAAACTTCCCTTTAGATAGTTCACTTATCACAAAGCTCAATAACACTTCATAAGTCTTTTCAGCATCACATGTATTCTGGAAAAATTGAAAATACTGTCATTCAAAATTACAAACATTTTACACTGAAAGAATATTCTATGAAGTATACCAAAAATACATCTGTGTTGACAATAGTTTTCAAGGATGTCAACTTAAATTTTTCAAATCTCTGCTTAAGAGAGTACATTTCTGGATTCACAATGAAATTGTGTAGGCAGTCAAAGTTACTCTAGCACTTCTTTACAAAACAGCATTTAAATTATTTAATGTGTATATAAATAAGCATATGTAAATCATACCTTTGGACCCAGTAATTCCCATTCCTGGGAATTCTTCGTAAGGAAATAATCCAAAAGAAAAAGGCTATATGCACAAGAGATTCACTGCAAGCACTAATGTAGTGAAAAATTAGACATGACTAAATGCAAAGTAGTTATTTAAATTATGGTATATCAGCCCAAGAGTATTTTATATATGCAATAAATATGATAAATTTGAGATACAGTAAAAATGTTTATATTATAACATGAAAGGAGTCAAATAAAAGTATATATACACTGGTTGAATTTATTAAAATAATTTAAAGTAAAAATAAAACAAGACATTTATTACACAACATGAAGATAATTACACTAAGTAATGGTCTACAATTTAGTGAAGTTTAATGATTATCTACTAATTTTTATAAGAAAGAAAAAGTAATAACTATTTATAAATTCAAATGTATTTCAGTAAAATCTTTACATATAAAGAAATGTACCTCTTCATATAATCACTGAGAAATTAAAGGCTGTGGCAAGTTATAATAAAATATAAAACAGGAAAAAGTCATAACTTTGCTATAGTGTTTATTCTACTCATTAACTATGCTTTTAAATAGTAAAACATAAGAACTGAATAAAGTAAGCAACATGGACTATAATTTCATCCTGAACTCTTAAGGCATTTATAGTCTGGCCTTCCGAGAGTTTATTACTCAATGATACTTAAGTCCTTCTATAGTTCCTCATTGTTTCTTGCACGTCAGTGCACTATTGTGATAGTTGGAGATATGTGTCAACTTGGCTGGACCACAATTCTGTGTGGTTTAAGCAATTGTGATGTAGGTTGTTCCAATGATGGGATCAGATGTGTATGTTTTGAGCAGCCAATCCACTGAAAGGGAGTTTCCCTAGGGGTGTGGCCTGCTTCCAGTATATTTATGAACATCCTGGGAAAAGAGACACTTTTCTGCGGATCCCGATTCTATTGTGCTGCCTACAACTGTCCGTGAGCGAACAACCCACCATTTGGCCTGGAGATCTTGGATTCATCATTTGTTGGAGTCAACAGCCAGTATACTGCCTGCCAACCTTGAGCTCCTCAGCCCCTGCAGCTGCGAGAGTCAGGAAAAGCTTCCAGCTTGACGTTTGATCCAAGAACTTGGGACTTGCTAGCTTCTGTAAGTGTGTGGGCCATTTTCCTAAGATAAATTTCTCTTTCTCTCTCTCTATAAGCTTTACTGGTTTTGTTTCTCCAGAGACCCCAGTCTAAACAACTCTCTTCAACTAGACTGTAAATTCTAAAATGTCAGGAACTATGTATTTCTATATCTCCTCTGCTTAACAGAACTCTGAGTGATAAATACCTGCTGGCTAACTGATGATTTTATTTCTGTGATGTTGGCATTTTGTTGTTGTTGTTCTTAGGTGCCGTTGAGTCATTTCTGACTCATAGTGACCCCATGAACAGCAGAACAAAACACTGCCCAATCCCGTGCCAACTCCACGATCCTTGCCATACTTGAGCCCATTGTTGCAGGCACTGTGTCAAGCCATCTCATTGAGGGCCTTCCCCTCTTTCATCGACCCTCCACCTTACCAAGCATGACATCCTTCTCCAGGGAATGGTCCCCTCTGACAACATGACCAAAGTAGGTGAGACAAGGTCTGGCCACTCTCGCTTCCAAAGAGCATTCTGACTGCACTTCCTCCAGGACAGATCTGTTGGTTCTTTTAGCAGTCCATGGTACTTTTAGCATTCTTCGCCAGCACCATAACTCAAAAGCATCAACTCTTCTTCGGTCTTCCTTATTCATTGCCCAGCTCTCACATGCATATGAGGCAACTGGAAATCATGGCCTGTGTCAGGTGCACCTTAGTCCTCAAGGAGACATCCTTGCTCCTCAGCACTTGCAGGAGTTCCTTCGTGGCCGACCTGCCCAGTGCTACATGTTATCTAATGTCCTGACTGCTGCTTCCATTGGCGTCAATTATAGAACCAAGCAATGTGAATTCTTTGACAACCTCAATCTTCTCTCCATTTATTATGATGCTTATTGGTCCAGTTGTGAGGATTGTTTTTTTCTTTATATTGAGACGTAATCCATACTGCAGACTGTATTCTTCAATCTTCATCAGTAAGTGCCTCAAGTCATCCTTACTTTCAGCAAGCAAAGTTGTATCATCAGCATATCTCAGGTTGTTAATGATTCTTCCTCCAATCCTGATGCCATGTTTTTCTTCATATAGTCCAGCTTCTCGGATTATCTGCTCAGCATATAGATTGAATAAGTATGGGGAAAGGATACAACCCTGACACACTTCCTTCCTGATTTTAAATCATGTAGTGACACCTTGTTCCGTTCGAACGACAGCCTCCCGATAAATGTACAGGTTCCTCATGAGTACAATCAAGTGTTCAGGAATTCCCATTCTTCTCAATATTATCCATAATTTGTCATGATCCACACAATCAAATGCCTTTGCATAGTCAATAAAACACAAGTAAACATCTTTCTGGTATTCTTTGCCTTGAGCCAAGATCCATCTGATAGCAGCTAAGATATCCCTTGTTCCATGTCCTCTTCTGAAGCCAGCTTGCACCTCTGGAAGTTCTCAGTCAATACACTGCTGCAACCGTTTTTTAAATTATTTTTAGTAAGATCTTACTTGCATGCAATATTAATGATATTGCTCAATAATTTCCACATTCTGTGGGATCAACTTTCTTTGGAATGGGTACAAATATGGATCTCTTCCAATACTGTTGGCGTTTATGACCTCAGAACTTGCCTGAGTGTGCTTCTTTTAAAAATCAACTCTTTGCTCTATTTTAAATTACTCCTCAGTTTTCAGCCATATTCACTCAGCCACGTAGAGATATCACATCCTGATACTAAACTATGAAAGTATCTCCAATTTTAGGAACTGTTCTCCTTACATCATGTGACCTACAACCCACCTTGGTCCAACTAAGCAACAAGATGATTATTTGGCAAATATGATGACCTATAGGCTAGAATGAATCAATATTCCACTGAATATCAGTATCAATAGCATACTGTGTTTTAAAATTGACTTAATCAAAATTGTTCGTAGATAGATAAAGGTCATTTGGCCTTAAAATATAGAAAATTCTGAAGAAAATAATACCATAGATTTGCTACTATATTAATCAAGTGACAAAAATATAAATGAAATAAAGAAAAGGGTCAACAGTTGAGAGATACAAGAGAGTTTGTGTCAGGTACAATATTTTGTCATGAAATTACAGTGCTTCTTAAATTTCCAAAGGGGTGACATATTCTTTAGGTATATGATGGATGCTATACTTCCACCTCCTAGCAAATGAACAAAATAAAACAAACCTATCCAGAAACACTAGATCAAGAAATCCTGGTATAGACTCTTCTAGCACAAATGTCACCGACCAAAAAGAATTTATACTAACTGATGATATTCCAGCAGAATAAAACCTCACTACCAAATTAAATCTAATGGTGGTGGTGTTAGGGTCATCGAGATGATTCCAACTCATAGTCACCCTATAGACAACAGAATGAAACAATGCCCAGGCCTGGCCATCATCACAATCCTCATTATGCTTAGCCCATCCTTGCAGCCACTGTGTCAATCTGTCTTGTTGAGGGTCTTAACCTTTTTCTCTGACTCCACTTTACATGCATGATATCCTTTATCAGGGACTGATCCCTTCTGCCAACATGACTAAAGCAGGTAAGACGAAGTCTAGCCATTACTTCTAAGAAACATTCTGACTACAGTTCTTCCAGGACAGATTTGTTCCTTCTTCTGGCTGCCCAGGGTACTTTCAGTATTCTTTGCCAACACCCCAATTCAAAGGCATCAGTTCTTCTTTGGTCTTCCTTATTCATTGTCCATCTTTCACATGCAGATGAGGTGACTGAAAATACCATAGCTTGGGTTGGGTGCATCTTAGTTTCAAAGTAACATCTTTGGTCTTCAATGACTGGACAGCAGTGAGGTTTTTTTTTTTTTTTTTTTTCAAGCTGTTACATTGTGGGGAATTGCAGTCAATGCCATAAAACAAAATGTGTACAAACTGCTGTATGGAAAATGAATTTGATCTGTAAACTTTCACCCAAATCACAATAAAAATTATATATATATATAAAAAAAGTCTTTTGCAGAAGATGTGCCCAGTGCAATACAATTTCTTTTTCTGACTGCTGCGTCCATGGGTGTTGATTGTGGCTCTAAGTAAAATGAAATCATAGATAACGTCAATCTTTATTCTATTTACTGTGATGTTGATTATTGGTCTAGTTGTGAAGATTTTCATTTTCTTTATGCTGAAGTGTAATAATGCATGTTGAAGGCTGTACTCTTTGATGTTCATCAGTAAGTGCCTTGAGTCGTCTTCACTTTCAGCAAGCAATGTTGTATCATCTACATAACACAGGTTGTTGATTAATTGTCATCCTATCTGATACCGTGTTCTTCTTCATATAGTCCAGTTTCTTGGCTTATTTTCTCAGCATACAGATTGAAAAGGATGGTGAAAAGATACAACCCTGATGCATACCTTGCCTGATTTTAAACCATGCAGTATTTCCTTGTTCTGTTCGAACGACTGTCTCTTGGTCTATCTACAGGTTCCTCATGAGAATAATTAAGTGTTCTGGAGTTCTCATTCTTCACAATGTTATCCATAATTCGTTATGATCCACACAGTTAACGGCCTTTGCATAGTCAATAAAAAACAGGTAAACAACTTCCTGGTATTCTTCGCTTTCAGCTAAGATCCATCTGGCATCAGCAATGATATCTCCCATTCCATATCCTCTTCTGAATCCAGCTTGCATATCTGGAAGTTCCTTGTCAATATACTGCTACAGTCGTTTTTTAATTATCTTCAACAAAATTACTTGTGTGTGGTATTAACAGTATTGCTTGATAATTTCCACATTTTTTTGGATCATCTTTCTTTATAATGGGCTGAAATATGGATCTATTCCAGTTCGTTGGCCAGGTAGCTGTCTTCCAAATTTCCTGGCATACACAAGAAAGTGCCTTAAGTGCTACATGTGTTTGCTGATATATTTCAACGGGTATTCCATCAACTCCTGGAGCCTTGTTTTTCGCCAACTCCTTCAACGCAGCTTGGACTTCTTCCTTTAATCCGTTGGCTCTTAAACATACACTACTTCCTGATGTCAAATGATTCTTTTTGGTACAGTGACTATGTATTCCTTCCACCTTCTTTTGATGCTTCTTGCATTGTTCAATATTTTGCCCATAGAATCCTTCAATACTGCAATTCGAGGCTTGATTTTTTTTCTTCAGTGCTTTCAGCTTGAGAAATGACAACTGTATTTTTCCCTTTTGGTTTTCTAATTCCAGGTCTTTGCACATTTCCTTAAAATATTTTACTTTGATTTCTTAAGTCACTCTTTGAAATCTTCAGTTCAGCTCTTTTATTTCAACATTTCTTCCTTTCACTTTAGCTATTCTCCATTCAAGAGCAAGTTTCAGAGTCTCTTCTGACATCCATTTTGGTCTTTTTTTCTTTTCCTTTTTAATGACCTTTTGCTTTCTTCATGTATGACATTCTTGGTTTCATCCCGCAACTTGTCTGATGTTCAGTCATTAGTGTTCAATGTCTCAAATCTATTCTTCAGATGGTCTCCAAATTCAGATGAGATATACTCAAAGTCACATTTTTGGCTCTCATGGACTTGTTTTAATTTTCTTTAGCTTCAACTTGAAGTTGCCCCTTCAAAAATATGTAGTACCTATATTTTTACCAGGAGCTCTGGTGGCACAGTGCCTAAAGCATTTGACTGCTAACCAGAAGGCTGGTGGTTACTATTTTAAGGCCAGATTATATCTGGCAAAATCTGTTTTCATTAGAATTACCAGACCCAGGGACAAGGAATTATAGAGAGAGAATGAATGAGTGAAACTCAATGGAAAAAGAAAAGAAAGAAGGGTGGAAGGGAGTAACGGAAGGAAAATGAAGTTCAGAAAAAAAGAAATTAAAAACAAAAGAAATAAATAATTCAGAAATCTAGTATACAAGTCACAGTGATATATTTCATCATTCATAAATATAACTGTTGCTATTATTTACAATCTGTATTGTATATAAATGTTTAAATCTATTGTAGAAAAGTTAGTAATATGGCAAACTACAGATATGTCATTTTCTTTCTTTTCATTCACTAATTTATATGGCTATAAACTAATCATTTTAAATTTATATTCTGATAAGAATCTGGCTCATATTAGGTAGTTTATTAAATATTTTTTTAAGTAACTAACAATTATCAAATTGAGAAGGAGCAATGACAGAACAGTTACTCAAATTACTTCATGTTCCCTCCATCATAGATTTACAACTGTCTGATTTTTTATTGTATTAAGGTCACATTTTAGTAAATAATCAAATGAGGAGATTTAATTCTAATTTATATCAATATTTTAGATGTGTAATTTTTCATGATTAGACAACTTACTAACGAAACATTAAAACAATGACACAGCATAGAAACCTAATGCATTTGATTTGAATATTAAAAGTCCAAATACAGATTAGAGTACCCCAGAAAAAAGAAATACAATTGCAGAAGGCAAAATTATTCAAGAATCAACTAGGAAAAAGGAAGGAAAATCACTCAATGAAAAGACAAAGCTCTATAAGAATTTAGGATAATAGAATTTTACAAGGAGCTCTGGTGGTTTAGTGCCTAAAGCATTTGACTGATAACCAGGAGGCTGGTGATTCAAACCCACCAGCCACTCTGTGAAAGGAAGAGTGGGCAATTTACTTCCTTAAGATTTACCACCTCGGAAACCCAAAGGGGGATCACTATGAGTCAGAATCAACTGGATGGCAGTGAGTTTGGTTTGATTTTTTTTTAATAAATTATGAGGACTGAACCTCTCATTTTCCTTTGAGAAAGCTGCGGCCCAGGGAGTTTTTACATCATGACCTAAAAAATTACATCCTAATGGTAGGTATTTGGCCTAGGACCTAGGTTCAGTGGCCAACTAATCAATATCCCAAATTAAGACACACTGAACTTTTTGATGATACTATATTAAATTTTTCTACCCATAGCGATGTGGTAGTAAACTGGTGATAAAATTATACTGAACGTATTTTATGTACTTACTAGTTCTTCCTCCTTTGATAACACAGATGCAATTTTAACAAAAAGTTATTAATGAGGTTTAAAAACTCTTTAACACTTTGTAAGCCAGTCAAAAGGCTTGATTACACTATACCTCTTACCTTTTTCCTAAAATAAACACTAAAGCAATTTTCTTATTTTTACTTATCTATAAAGCTAAGACACTCAGCTCAGTTATCTGGTTCTATAATATCCAATTTGTTCTCAAGCCATTGAAAATATTTACATTTAACTGAACTGTGCATAACTTTTCTAAATTGTTTACATAATTTCAAGAGGACTCCTGTGAATTTGCTAAGAACTTTTATATATTCTCATGGGAAAAAGTATTTGAAGAAGCTTAATTAAGAGAAGATAAGGACTTGCAAATTTACAAGTAGAGAGTCCAAAGGCATCTCTGGATAATGACTAGGAATAGAGATAAGGAGAAGAAAAGATGACAGTTAAATAGATAAGTGCACAGACATCTTGTTACCTGCTCATTGTGTTAGCATAATTTGTATAACTTCTCTAAGTTTAAGGCTTGCTGCAAAGGCAAAACAGGACTGACCAAATATGAAGGATAAAGTATAAAGTTTTGAGATAGATGAAAAAGGCCTCATTGCTCAAGAAAAGTATTTTTAAACATTTTTAGTCTAAATGTGCTCCATTTCCAATTAAAATACCATCAATAACTCATTTTGTCTTTTAAACATTTAATCTCACTTACTCCTCTCCCCAACATAAATGAGTTCACTGAACTACTAAATGCCAAATTCAGACGAGACAAACCTTTTTGAGAGCTCCCATGTGTTTCCAAGCTGACCTGTCTTCCTCATTACATTTAACTGAAAGTGAGGCAAGAGCCTGTGTGTAGAGTAGTGTAAAAAGCACCTTCACAATGCAGGTAAAGTGGTCTATAAAAGAAAGAGATCATCATTATTTGTTCAGAAGCTAGACATTTTGTATTCAAGATAATGTAATAACGTATGTCTTTATACATGTAATTGGTTTTTGTTCAACTGATGTAGTTACTTACTAAAATGAAATTATAAGGTACTATTGTATTTGCTCTGGTGGCATAGTGCTTAAGGCATATGACTGCTAACCAGAAGGCTGGCGGTTCAAACCTGGGAAGGAAGGTTGGGCAATCTACTTCTGTAGTGATACCTCCTCGGAAACCCAAGGAGGGGTCCCTATGAGTTGGATCCGGCTCAATGGCAGTTTT